TCCTGCTGACTGTGCTTTCCTAGACAGCAGAACACAGGCCAGACAATCTACAGCCTCTTTTCACTCAGAAAGAAGCAATTCCTTCTTCCATGAGCCTGAGGAGGTGGCATCACATCCCGGAGGACAAGCTGTCTTTGCTGATCCTTGTAGGAAACCGTGAGCATGTCTGGTTCCAGATCCATCCCACCTGCCCTTGGGGCTGGAACAACACTGAGGGTTTGGATTTGGTCTTTGCAGAGAACAGAAAGGTGTTGTCAGAGCCTTTCAGAGCTGCAGGGGGCCAGGCCATCCCTTCCCACTGACTCTGCTGTGACCACAGCCCAGTTAGCTGTTCCAATCCATGTCTGTAACCAGGTGGGATAAATCTGCACCCTGATGCTTTCTGCATTACTCAGCCAATCCCAAAGTAAACTGCAAACACCTCCTGCATTCTGGCTTTGAATGTGGAGGGTGAGCCCTGCGTGTCTTCCTAGACCTGCCTGGGCACCTCTGGGGCTGATGAAGGACCTCCTGGAGCTCCCTGGGATCCTCTCAGGTCACTCCTGATGTCCTAGGGCTCCTGCCAGGATCTCTGGGACTGCTCCTGGCCTCCTTCCAGCATCTCTGGAGGAATATGTTGTTTACATGCCAGAAATATCAATCACCACAACCTTTGTATTAAGCCAACTACCAGAGGCTATTCCATCTCCAGCCAAAGTCCTCCCAGTGCTGTTCCTCTCCTGCCCACCTCTTCACCTGACCCACTCACAGCAGCAGTTGGGTTATTGTTCTCCAAGCACAGATCATAACAGGTACACAAGCCCTGATGTAGCTCTGGTCTTGCAGGAGTGCCTGAATGACACACAGCACTGCCCCAACCTGCTGGTGGTGTAGAATTGAGGTCACCTGCTACTTTCTCCTCAGTCCACCCCACATCAAGGCAGGAGTTTGAGACTAGCCAGGTTTGGAGAACTCAATTAGGAGAATCACTCGTTTCAGATGTATCATGAAACAAGAAGAGATGCTAAGACTTGTAGACCTTGCTGGCATCCTGATGAATGTATACAACCATAAAAAGGCTCTGCTAAAACAACAATCAAAGTGTGCTCAGGAGAAGCTGTGACCAATGGATGAACCATCCATGCAAGGCTGTGCTGACAGAGTTTGATGGTGGATGGTGAAAAGCAGAGTGAGATACAAGGTGAAGGTGGCACTTACCCAGCTTGGGTGCCCCATGACAGGGCTGCAAGATCCTGCCCAGGACAGAGATCTAACCCAGCACAGCACTTTGCTGGAGGGAAGATTTGGTGACTCAGCAAAAGAAAAAAAAGGCAAAACAAGTATTTTAAAAAGAATTGTGATTTCCTGTGGATCTGCAGGTAGCTGAGAAGCACCAGGTGACTGGTACAGAATTGGCAAAAATATTAGGAAGAAAAGGATATTAGGAAGAAATTCTTCCCTCTAAGGGTGTGAGGAACTGGGATGGGCTGCCCAGGGAGGCTGTTGATGCCCCATCCCTGGAGGTTTTTCAGGCCAGGCTGGAGGAGGGTTTGGGCTCCCTGCTCACGGCAGGGGGGTTGGAGCTGGATGAGCTTTGAGGTCCCTTCCAGCCTTCGTGACTCTGTGAAACCCACGAGCTGTTTATGGCCGCCCTGCTCTGTGCAAAGCTGCTCACGGGCCCTCCCGGCCTCAGCGGGCCGATGAAATAAACGCTGCACGACCCCGAACCCCCAAGACCCCCCGACCCCCTCAGGGCGCCGCGGGGCTCGGCCCTTCCCGCCGCGCGGTCGCCGTGGCAACC